TATATGTATTATAGAAAAGTCTTATTTGTAAATAGTGTTGGTGTTCTGAAATGGGAGCTACTTTAAGTTCTTCTATTAAATTAAAGGGCAGAAATTAGTCCTTTTTATAAAAATGTACTATCTGAGTCATTTTATTGTCCACCTACCAATGGAAAACAAGTGGGGAGGAAAAAGTAGTTTTAAATCTAGGATCTCCCAAGAAAGAGGCTCCAAGTGAGGGACTGGATGTTAAATTCCAGTCTTTTTTACACGTATTCCATAATTTCAGAGAGTGCGCTACTATCGTATTATAAATTGTGATAGAACGCATTGGGATAGAATTAGCCCAAAAGGAGACCTAAAAGGTAAACTGGTGAGACCAAAGCAGTTTTGAATAATAACCAAGGAATTTAAGGTTTTAAAATGTTTCATTGGGCTAATTGTATTAATCTACAAGTAACAAAATATACCCACAGTTGTGGAAGTCCTAAACCTCCAGATTTGTGTGAGTGGTATAGGATTTTTTTACAGTGTCTTTGGGGTTTATAATTCCATTTAAATTTGATTGGAGTTTAGAAAGATACGTTTTAGATAATATAAATAGAGAGTGCTCTTAAAAAGATATAGTATTTTTGGTAATATATTCATTTTAATAGCAGTTATTCTTCCCAAGAAATAAAGGTAAAATGAGGACCAGATTTTAAGAGTTTGGCAAATTTTATGTTCTAATGGAGGATAATTACATTGGAATAGATTGTGATAATTGGCTGAGAGGGAGATGCCTAAATATGGAACTGTAGTATAAGGCCAAGCGAATGGGAAATTTACTTTAAGGAATTTTTAGTTCTAAAGGATAAAAATAATTGGTAACACTAATAATTTAGAAACGTTCACTTTTAAACGTGATAAATTGGCAAACTTAATCAAAATATATAAAAGATTGGGAGCTGATATTAAGGGGTTGGTCAAGAATAATAAGGCATCATCAGCTTATAAACATATTTTAAATGTAGATGAACCTTTGGAATCTGGATGTTGTATGATGGTTGTAGATAAAGGTTCTAATGCTAATGCAAACAAGAGTGGTGATAAGTGACATCCCTGGCTATTCCTCTGGGAATACTGTTACAATTTTTTAATTGAAGATTTGCTTTAACTATTTTTTTATAATGAGTACATAAGGGGTTAATCTCTTTACCTTAGGGTTGTACCAATGGATGACCCTTTCTTCTGGCCCCTCATGTATAAAACACCCCCTTGGCTGGATTGCAACACATGGCCTGATGAAGGGGCAGGCCCTGAAACATGTAGCCATAGCAACCGGCTGTTCCCAGCACATGCTTGGTCCTCTAGGTAGCTCTACAGGATGTACCAGTGGCTCCTTCCTCCTCCTCCCAGCTTCCTTTGTGTTCTTCCTCCATCACTGTGATGTCATCCTCGGGCGCTCCGTGAGCATCATTTCCAGTGCGCTGGTGAGACAGCTGGGAGACCCTAGTGTTTGCCAGATACTTTTGGATCCACTTCCCTCCTTGGTGTCGCTTATCAACCTACCCTGCAGGCCATGGGAGTCAGTGTCCTCCATCGGGACATGGTGTGTGTGGATTCCTTCAGGTTGGGAGTACTTCTCATGTAATCCATCTAACCACCGTTATGCTTTTATGGTTCAATAAACTGTACAACATTTGCAATATCATCATTGGTCTCTAACTGTCTAATCCCTCACCCATGATAGATAGCGCTCCCTTCTTGGACTTTACTATTGATGTTCATACAGTTCATATGACTTTTGAGAGCAGCCTGCCCTGTGGTGTTTACCTACAAGTATTCCTCAGTCATCCATCTGATCGTCTGGGTTTTTGATCTTTTTACCACAGTGAACTATACCATGGCAGCAGGATGGGGTTTCCTCCGTCTAGAACATTCCTTTATTTACAAGAGATTATTCTGAGCCCTTGATGAATGCACTGTCCTGTGATGGTTCTCCTAATTTAATTACAGTGGCAAACAGATCTAAGCTATTTTATCTATGGTCAGCCATTCAGGTTACCCTATGTGCATTTTTGCAACACTTTTGGCTGGCACATATATGTATATGAATGTGTATACATTGTTTTTATTCTATATTGTTTGTAATTTCATATTGCACTTGGGGTTTATACACAACAACATTAATTTAGAAGGGATCTGGAGGACTGGAGATTTTAGATTTGACAGTGATAAGAGGCAGAAGTCGATCAAGATGTAGGAGATATACCTCAACAAGATGAGACTAACAAAAAACAGTTTTTTTGGAGACGAAAGAACAGAAATAGAAAAGGAAGGCACTCAAAAGCATGGAAATTAAATAGGCAAAACACAGCAAAAAGAGAGTTTAACTCAAAATATTTCCAAAGCCAGGAATGTGGGCCGAACAAGAAGTCAGAAAAAATAACTGAAATCTGTAGCTCATCTCAAGACAAATATGACCTTAAGGTCATCAATTTGTCAGAATTTCAATTAAAATCGAGACATTACAAATTTTTCACGAAAAGGACTTTCCTTCTCCCCATCAAGTAAAATGAATCTTTTTGAGGTATATAAAGACCTAAATTTATGTTTACGTTAAATTCTGCTTAGGGCCTCTTATAGCCAAGATAAATCTTTTCAAAACCAAATTCCAAATAATGAAACTGAAAAACAGGTATTAGACGACTTGATCAACCTCTTCAATGAGGGGGAATTAGAAGTTGAGGATAATGAACATACATTGTCCTCAAAGTGGAAAAGAATGACCAGACTGAAAATACATTCTAAAAGAATGCTCAATTTAAGTGAAAATAAATGGGCTAGCCTTTTTCTTGATTTAGTACATTCTGACTTACTTAAAATCTATTGGGAAAGAAATCGACCAGACAAGGGAGGAGAGAACTGCCTTAGATGAATTAAAGAATGTCTCTAATATAACCATTAAGAGGAGTGATAAAGGAAGTAATGTGGTTTTAATGAACAATACTGACTAAGAGGTTAAAAGACAACTAGATGGGGGCGTGGCCGAGCTCCGGAGAAGGTCACTTAGAGAAGGAACTCTGGTCTGAACGGGCTCACTGGACAGAATTACAGTCACGCAGACCTTCATTTTTGGTCACCACTTATTCCCTGGGATCAGGGCACAGCTGGACATGATTTCGAGAAAGGGGCAAACTGGGGAGGATGACAGATTTCTTCCCACAGCCGCAGGGCCTCCCAGAGTTATACGGCGCCGGCTGCACTACGGGCACACTACACAGACATGATCTGGAGCAGGGATCATCCCTCAGACGTTCTAAGCAGCAAGGCACACGTAACATCTGTACTTCTCAATCCCAGTCTTCTTCTACTGCTTCCAGCCCAGCAAGAGCGAAGCCTAAATTACAGAAGAACACCCCTTCTCAGAAGATGAGTGATTTAGACACTTCGTTAGAAGATACAAGAGAATTACATGATTCCATCTTAGAATTCCTGACATCTAATCAACCAGTGATGGACACAATACTTTACTCTGATTGCGTAATGTGTCTCTGGCACAGCAATTCAAATCAGAAATAGCATTGGTTTCTAATAGAATGTCACACATTAAATCTAAGATGGGTGAATTCGCAATCACTTTTAATGAACTAGTGGACTCTCATAATGCTCAAGATGATGACTTGAACGAAGATAGCAGACCTAGAGGACAGGTCTAGGCAAAACAATATTAAAATAAGAGGACCATCTGAATTAAAAGGGTTCTTTGCTAACATACTTCAGGAAGCACTTCCTGACATCACCCCGGAAGAACTAATAGACCGTATCCATAGTTTGCTGAAGCCTAAGCATATTCCAGATCATAATTTTTCTTCCAGTCTACAAGGTCTTCTATTTATTGCAGAATTATCAGCATACACGATGCAACCAAGAAGACAGCTTCTAACGATAACTAAACCTTTGAACAACCACAGCATATCATACCGTTGGGTGTATCCAGCAAAGCTGTTTATCACAGGAGAGGATGCCACTCACGCTGTTATGTTGGTAAAGGAAGGCCTGAAGCTGCTCCAAGCTTGGAACATACTTGAACCTCACTAATTCAATTAAGCTTTCTCACCAAATTCCTCTAAAGCTTCTCATGCCGGTTCTGATATAGATGCAGGTTGATTCTGTGTGTTTTTTCACACATCCGTTTGTATATATTCCAGTGAGCCTGTTTAAGATGTTGAAATTTTGTCTTTTCACCCCCAGGTATATTAGTGGTATCTTTCCATTCAGATTCTGATAAGAATCACCAGTTTTTATTTGTTAATAGCTCAGCACAATCTACAGTAAGTGCGGGCTAAAAGTTACTTTTTTTTCTTGAGCAGTACTAATGTTATTCCAATTTGTCATTGAAAGTTTTGCATTCTGTTGGACTTCACAATATCCCAGACATTTATTAGGGCTCCTTCCAGTGGGTGTTCATTTCAGAAGCGCTGCCGGTAATACAACACTTTATATTTTGCTAGTTAACCTCCCTAGCGGTCTGATTATGTCCATATTTCTGTACTCAAAGTGGTACATTTTTTTGCATGGAAATATGTTTTTTTTTTTTGTAGGCCTGTAATTTTTAGGAATAACTCACTGAAATCTGTCCGAACAAGAGTCTAGTAAACATCCCAGGTAGGATAAAACTTGAAACACGAAATCATAAATTATAATTTAATAAATAATCATAAAAAATAATAATATAATAATAAATTTAATTCAGTAATATAATCAAACCAAAAACACTGAAATTTGAAATATAGCGCCAAGTTCGCACATCACTGAGCAAAGTCGCAAAATCGTTTTCAGTCTGACGAATTTCCCCACGAATCATTATCACTCAATTCTGCAAGTGGTTCTAATTTACTATTGCTGTTCTCTAGCTGATCTAAAACTGCTTTTGACCTAAAGGGACGCTTTTTGGATGCCATGGACTTTTCTCAGTTTCCAGGCAGAAAGAACAGTAAAAATGCAGGCAGGGCACAGGACAAAGCACTCGGGACAAAATGTATCTGAAATGGTTTGATACAGTAATGTTTTACTATGTGATTTTAGTGATTTTAGTGAATGTCACTTTTTGTCATTTTCAAATTTCCCGCCGTTCCGTCCCCCGTACGTCCCGACGCTCGCAGCGGACGGAACCCAGATGACAGATGCCGGCATCCGCCGGATTACATTGCCGTGGACACTGCAGGAGGGACATCGCGGGAGCGAAGGACAAGGTAAGTGATCGAGGGATCCCGGAGCAGCGTCGCATGGTAAGCCCGAGTGTAGCTCGGGGTTACCGCTTGTGGTACTGAAACTTTACCCCGAGCTACACTCGGGAATACCGCCAGGGAGGTTAAGGCTAATTCGCCTCCACCCAGTGTCTCATTATGGCTTACAAAATTTCTTCATTCAACGTGAAGGGTTTGAATAACCCTGTTAAGAGAGGGTCGATTTGGAAAGAGGCATGTAGATTAGACTGCAACATACTGTGTCTGCAAGAAACACATTTTTCTTCTAAAAACCCACCGGTGTTTAAACATTGGAACTTCCCACATATTTTTTGTTCAAATGCTGATAAGAAAAAGAGGGGAGTGCTTATAGCAGTTCACAATACGGTTGCCTTTAAACAACTAGAGTTGGTACTGAACGATCTAGGAAGATATATTATACTAATTTGTGAGATTAACACTGTCATGTATATGTTGATCAATGTGTATCTGCCAAACATTAAACACATTAAGTCTCTCAAACTATGGAAAAGGATTGAGTCTCTGTGCAGGGAACATGTGATCTTGTGCAGTGACTTCAACGCCATTGCAAATCCTGGTGTGGACTGTTCTAGGTCTTATAGTTCTAGGTCTTATAGAGCTTCCCTGGCTAAATTTCTTTCCAAGTCAAATATGTTTGATGTGTGGAGGTGTCAACATGCTTCGGAAAGAGATTATACATTTTTCTCCCAGGTGCACCATTCATACTCTAGGATAGATATGTTCCTGGTGGACAAATTCCTATTGCAAAACATTAGTAAATCTGAGATCCATACTATAACATGCCCCAATATCCATTTGTGTGGGGGAGTTGCGTACAGAATCTAGGGCAAATAGATGGTGGAATGATGTCTCAATTCTATCTCATGTTTCAATTCTATCTCATCTGATACATAAATAAGAAATTATTAAAGCGCTAAAGGATTTTTTTTAGATCAATGCCCCTTCAGTTGTAGATCCTTTCACATTGTGGAATGCACACAAGGCCTATTTGAGGGGCCTTCTTACCCCAAATTAGTTCCAAGGTCAAGAGACAAGGAAAGCAGCAGCTAAATGAGTTGTTAGAGAATACAACAAATTTAGAAGTAACAAATAAAACTCTACCTTCTCAGAAGATCAGAGACCAATTGTTTAAAGCTAGACATGACTTAAGTTCTTTATTAATAGGTCAATATAATCGACATATTAAAGTTTTAAAAGCCACAAACTATAGATATGGAAATAAGGTGGGCAAACTTTTAGCCAATCAGGTAAAAGAAGACGTCCCGTGATAAAAAAACAAACTTATATTTTCATAAACTTCTTCAGTGCCAATAATAATCCTTCCACCATCCACCAGTGCAAAACCAACATGAACCGCACTCACCAGATGTTTGGTGAGTATAACACCTTTCAGGATTATTAAGGGCTCCTGGACCCCCTTTAAACCTTCAAATATTGCCTCCTCTAGGACATAGAAACCTCCTCCGATTACTCCCCTCACCGACTCCACCAAAATTCAGGAAGAAGAAAAAACCAATAGCATGATACCGTTATAACTTTCAATCTTAGTAAGCTTTAAACCAGACCACTCACATTTTAAAAGGTATTAACCAGCATTTTATTGATGTATAAAATTATTTTCCACAGATCCTATAATAAGACCCCACAGCCAGGTAACACAGCAGGATGACAAGGTCTTGAGAACGCCCTGTGGGTGGGGTGAAACGCGTTGACATATTTCCGGCTGGCCGTCTCGGCATCCAACGTCATTTCCGGTGAGTGGAACGCACGCCGAGCGGTGCGTTCCAAGGGGCCATCTTGCCTAGTGGAGGAGGCTGCTTCTGAGGTCTGGGAGCCAGCCAGGGGGGAGTACTAGGAGCTCAGTTTTGGAAAGGTTGAGTTTGAGGAAGTGGAGGGACCTCCAAGCCGATATGACACTTAGTAGGCTAGCGATGCGGGTGGAGACTCAAGGGGTGAGGGGTAGACAGATTTGCGTGTCATCAGCATAGAGATGGTAATTGAAGCCGTGGGAGTTTATCAAGTGACCAAGGGAGGAGGTGTAGATGGAGAAGAGAAGGGGTCCAAGGACAGAACCTTGAGGGACCCCTACAGAGAGAGGGAGTGAGGAGGAGGTGGTGGAAGTGTTATAGGTAACACTGAAGGAGTGCTGCAATAGATAGGAGGAGAACCAGCTGAGAGTGGAGTCTCTGAGGCCAAGAGAGTGTAATTTTTTGAGGAGGAGGGGATGGTCAACCGTGTCAAAATTAAATTTTGGTTTCTACCCTCACACTTGAAACACTGGAGTTCCTTGGAGAATGATTGATTGGGTTTTCCCCAACACCCTTTATAACTTACTAATGATTAGGCAAAACAAATCTCCACAGCAATTGGGGAGTCACTAGGTTATCTCGTCCACTCTTCAAGCTTGGCAAGAGTTTAATAAATCTGGCGGTAAACAAGATGATTATATAAAGATTTCTATCCCTATAGACTCCTTAAAATTTCTGATATCCATCCATTTCACAAATGAAATGTATGGTAAGGGCCTGATCACTCTTAGTGACATTTCAAACAAAAAGGGGATGTGTTCATTCGAGGATTTAGTAAAGGGAAACTTTTTACCCGATGGAGAAAGATTCACTTATATAAGAAACCTCTCCTTGCTACAGAATTTAAATATAAGTCCATTACAATTATCCCTTAAGGCGCGGTCATAATGGACTTTGGAGAAGGCCAAAACAAAAGGCATTTCTCTGTTTTACGACTTGAAGTGATAAATCATCCTTTAGAAAAACGTCACAGATAATCAAATGGGAAAATTATCTTAATTGTGAATACACAAACGCACAATGGACCAAAGCATTTGCTTCTATCAATACTCAAGATATCCTAACTATTGGGAATTAGCACAAAAAATTTAATTTAAGATGGTATTTTACTCCATACATGTTAGCCAAATGTTATCCTAAGTCCTCTGGTATGCTTTGGAGAGGTAGTGGGAATTCAGGCACGTTAATTCATATGCTATGGTCGTGCCTAAATATACTACTGGGCTGAAATATTTAAACTAATATCTCGGGTAACAGGCTTTTTCATCACACAGTCAGCGGATCTAGCTATCCTTCGTATTGATATAGATCGGATCTCTACTGTTCTCAGACCTGTCTGTTTGCAAATACTCCACACAGCTAGAGCAATAATTAGAGTAAATGGAAATCCAATGAAACCCCAAATGTAAGAGAAGTTATTAACAAAGTCAAGGACATATGTGAATATGATAAAATTATGGCTCTTATAGATGGCAAAATAAATTAATTTGAGGTACAGTGGAGCATTTGGAATGTTTGTCATTTTGATAATTGAATTCTAATTCTGTGAGAGATTTCAGGACATCTATGCTCGTTACCATGTTATCCTTGTTTTCAACCTAAATAGGTAATATGAGAGTTATGTTGGTTTGCATTTTCTGATATTTATATAGTGGCCTATACACATCTATGTATCGTTCCAACAGAAATTTTCTATGATTCTTGTTAGCAGTCATTGCTTACCCATGCAGTACTTTTATGGCATTGTTCATCTTCTGCAAATTACATATTATGTAAACTGCTATTGCAACCGTGATTTGTTATACAATTTTATGTGTATTTTTGAAAAATCCAATAAAAATTATTTGAGAAAAAAAAGACAACTAGGTGATTCTAGCACTTATGTCAGACTATCAGAAAATCGTTTCAACAATTGTGGTTTCCCATAATTGAAAATTACTCTGGGCTTTTGAGGCAAATATTTTAACTAGACATGGGAGACATACACAGACATAGGGAGACCTGTAGTCTCTGCTGTTAACGGTCCCCTTGAGAAAAAAGGCAAATATTAATATGACATGATTAAAGATATGGTCGCCAATTTACAATCTTATGTGCAGGATACCAGAGACTTTTTTCTAAGATAGAAGGTACTCTTCTGGTAGGAATTGATGTGGAATCACTTTACACATCAATTCCACACATCTGGGGCTTGAAATCAGAAATGTGATTCCTTGAATAGCACTACTTAGGAATGGGGTCTCAGCATTCATTTATTTTGGATCTCTTAGAATTCATGCTTTTAACAACTGTTTTCAATTTTTAGGTGTTAACTATCAACAGATCTGTGGTAGCTCAATAGGTACCCCTTAGGCTCTGGCATATGCGTGCCTCCACCTTGGTTTGTGGGAACAGGAAGTGGTCTATAGTTTGTTGATGTACCTCACCATGTTTTAAAGTGGCTGAGGTACATTGATGATATTTTGAGGCTTTGGCATGGAACGGAAGATCAACTTAGGGAATTTTTGAAGACATTAAATCAGAATGAAAGAAATATTAAATTGACTTTTTGCTACGACTATAGGGAAATTTCATTCCTGGACCTATATATTTCTGTTAAAGAAATCAATTAATAACTAGAATATTCAGAAAAAAGACTGCAAAAAATACTCTGTTACATGCTGTTACATGCTGTTACAGCCACCACCCGAAATCTCTTAAACAAGGAATACAGGTGGGACAATTTCTCTGTATACGGAGAAATTGTCCAGAAACAATTCAGTTTTAAAAAAAGGAAGCTGTAGATTCAGAGAAGGGGCTATTCACATAGAACCTTGAAGAAGGCTAAATATAGATCCTTAAAAACAGAGAGAAAAGATCTTTTAAAACCTAAATGTAGTGAAAACATAGGAGATCAGACGGGACCAATCAGATTCATTACTAAAATCTGATCAACAATGGAATGATGTTAAAAGCATCTTACAAACATACTGGCATGTATTGACAGTTAATCCCACTATCGCGGACATTATAGGACACAGACCCCAGATGGGAGCAAAGAGGAATTTAAGAATCAATCTAAAGGTAACTGGCTCTCAAACTTGTCAGAGATAGTAGAGATGTATTCTTGCGGCCAGGGGCGGACTGACAACTCATGGGGCCCCTGGGCAAGAGGGGATCATGGGGCCCCTGTGTCCTTGCCCAAACTCAAAAAGCCTATGAAAAAGGTACCAGGGGCATCTCATGGCCCTACTGACCCCGGACCCTCGGCAGTGCCAGAGTTTCCAAATGGTCAGTCCGCCCCTG